TTTCGTTCTTCTTCATGGCTGCATAAAATTCCTTTGTGTATAGATACCACATTTTCTTAATCCATTCGTCAGTGCTGGGGCATCTTGGCTGTTTCCATAACTTGGCTATTGTGAATAATGCTTTTAAGTCCTTTAGTGTATATTTGATGGGTTTATATAGTAGGGTAATTGTTATTTCCTTTAGATGTATTGCCCCTTTTATGAGGATGAAGTGTCCTTCTTTATTTCGTTTGACCAATGTAAATTTGAAGTCTATTTTGTCTGATGTTAGTATTGCTACTCTTGTCAGTTGCTTGGAAAATCTTCTTTCCACCTCTCACCCTAAGCCAGTGTTTGTTTCTGCCAATAAGATGGGTCTCTTGTAAACAACAGATTGTCTGATCATCCTTTTTAATCAAATTTGCCAAATGGTTTCTTTATGTGGGGGTATTGAGTCCCCTGACATTCAGTGTTTGGTGATTCCTGCTATTGAGTTGTTTTGTTGTTTAAGGATTTGATTGTGTGCAGCCAAATCAATGGTACTCTCTGATTGCTTTTCTTTTCTTCTTGTGTGGTTTGATACTTCCTATCCTCTCATGGTTTTGTTTGCTTTCATCTTTTGTGTGCAGAACTTCTTGTAGAATCTTCTGTAATGGTGGCTTGGTGGTCATTTATCATTTAGTTTCTGTTTGTTGTGGAAGATTTTTATTGCTCCATCAATTTTGAATGATAGTTTTGCTGGATATAGTATCCTAGGCTTGAAGTTATTTTCATTCGGTGCCTGAAATACCTCACTTCAGTTCTTGCTTTTAAGGTTTCCGTTGAGAAATCTGCTGATTTTTTTGGGGGTTATCTTTATAGGTTTTTTTGTTTTTTCTCTCTTACAGCATTCAATATTCTTTCTCTGTATCTTGCATTTGTTGTCTTAATGATAGTATGATGTGAAGCAGTTCTGTTTTGGTCATGTCTGTTTGGTGTTCCAGAAGTTTCCTGTACCTGAATAGGCAAAACTTTCTCAAGATTTGGGAAATTTTTTGTTATTATTGTATTGAATATATTACATATCAGTTTGGCTTGTACCTCTTCTCCTCTTTAAATATCCATGATTCTCAGGTTTGGTCTTTTGATGGAGTCATTGAGATCTTTCATATTCCTTTCACAGCTCTTGAGTTTTTTGACTATGATTTCTTCTGTTTTTTCATTAATTTCCATTTTATCTTTTAGCTCTGGGATTCTGTCTTCAATTTCTAGTCTGCAGAAGTGGCCTTTCACTGTTTTTTGTTTGACTAAAGGGACTTTTTATTTCCAGGATTTCTGTTTGATTCTTTTTTTCTGAGGTTTTCCATATCTTTGTTCAACTCCTCTTTTCTATTTTGTGTTTTAATCTTTAATTCATCTCTCTCTCTTTTTATAGTGTTCTTTGTTTCAGTTTGGTGTTTTTTGAAGTCCTCTCTGAGTTCATTCATTTGTTTCTGTGTCTTCTCATGTTCTTTATTTTTGGTGTCTTGAAATTTCTTGAGTGATTCTTGTACATTCTGGTTAACCATTTCTAGTGTCTTCTCCATGAATTTCTCAAAGATTTCTTTGGTGAGGTTTTTTTTTTTTGGGCATCACTGGGCTGCTTGTGACATTTATCATTGTTTTGTTGGGGTCAGGAACTGGGTATCCATTTTCTTCAATTCCCACTGAATCCCATATTGAATTATTTTTTTGAGGAGAGTGGTTCCATCCCTTCTTCTTTTTCCCATCACTCCACTAGTTGATGTGCAACTATGTTGTTGATAGGCTGTTTGGTGGTTTTAATTGCCTGTGTTTTTTCCCTTGCTTTAATTTTTGTGTTGTCACTGACTTGGTTGTTAGTTAAGTTGATGTGCTGCTTCTGTCCCTGACCTGGAGGTGTAATTTAGCAATAACAAATTCACAGTTTCAATGCCAAACCAGTTGTTTGTATATTATATAGGAAACCTCTTGATGTTAATGTTAACAGTGGGAATTGGGGGAGTAATGGTTATTAGACTTGATATAGATATTTGGGAAATTGGTGAAGGTGGCACTAAAATGGGGGGTAGGAAAAGGGGTGGGTGGGTGTGGGAAGAGGTCTAGGGGCTGCTGGGTTGTGGCCCTTGTGTGTGTTTGGTATATTTCTGTTGTTGTGGAGGGTGCTTGTGTCAGGGATTGCAGAGGGCTTGTGCTGTTTACAGTTGGTACAGTATGGTAGTCAGCAGGTGGTGAGTGTATAGGATGGAGGTGTAGTGTCTTTACAGGTTGGTGGAGGATGGGAGAAGGAGGTGAAGATGGGGAATAGAGTGGATGGAAGGGGCAGAAGGAGTAGTAGGATGGGAGAACAATGTATTGTAGCTCAGGAGAAGGAGGGAATGTGAAGAGGGTAAGAATATGGATAAGAGAATAGTGATGGTGAAGTTAATAATACCAGAAAAAAGAAAACAAATATAAAAACAAAAATAAAAACATAATAAAAACCATGAGGTTCAGGAACCACAAAAGTTCAGTGTTTTGATAAAAGTTCTGGTGTTATTCCTCATGTGTCCAATCAATGTATTGGTGTACAAGCCACAAGGTGACTGGCTTGTGAACAGTAATTGTTTCTTCTGTCCACAAGATTAGTTGGGATTGTGAGGTGAGGTAATACTGCCAGACGGTTCAAGATAGTCAGAGCTGTTGTTTTCACCATGCAGCAGGTGCATTGCCCTTCAGCTTAGCTCTGTTTGGTTAGCTCCACCCCCAGCAAGGTGGGGCAATTCAGTTAGAATATTGATCTCTGAGACAGAGGGCAGCTCTGGAATCCACCACCTGCCCTGCTTTGGGAGGTTGGCCTGTCACCCCACACCCACTTTCAGCCTTTGTTGCTTAACCTGCATTTGTGTTTGATCACTAAAAGTTTGGCATTGAGAGTATGGGTCCTTGCCCCACCCCAGTTCTTCTGTGCAGGTTCACCATTCCACCCCCATCTCTGCTGTTGCTGTGAGATTACCATTTGCTGTTTATGTTTTTCAGATTTGCTGGGGAGGGGTTCAGTTTGCCCAAGGGATTATTTTCCTGGGAGGTGGGTAGGGGAGTCACACATTGTGCACGATGCTCACCTGTTCTTCAGTTTCACTCAAGCAGCTTTGGAGTCAGCTGGTGGTGAGAAGTGGCCTCACTTTTATCAGTATGGTATGGTGTAGGGAGGTTTCCCATGGGCTTGGGGTCCAGGATGTCACATGTTTGATTCTGATTGACGCTCTGTCTTCTGCTTATTGGGAGACAGAAAAAAAAAAGAGAGAAACTGTGGGGTATTTATTTCCCCCAGGGCTGGACACACCTTGCTGGTTTTGCCATGCAGGATTTTCACAGCTGTTAGGTGCAATTAAAGGCTGATTTGCCTTTAATTCCAAGGTCAGTCTTTGAATTTTATCTGTACCTAATGTGATGGCAGTTGTTAGTTTGGCTAGAAGCATTCAGAACTACCCAAGTGTAGCTCTGATGTGTCAAGGAAGTTTGTGGAGTCACAGAGCTTAGGATTTCTCTTTATCTATCATCTATGTAAGCTATCACACTTAATACCTTAGTACTTTAGTATGTATCTGCCAAGAAAAAGGACCTCGTGGTACACAACAATAATTTCAATTACAATCAAAGAATCATCATTAATTTAATATTGTTATCCAGTAGATAGCCTATTATTACAGTTTTTCATGGTACTGGAGATTGAACACAGAACTCATGGTATGCTTGCTAGGCAAGCATTCTATCATTTGAGCCATGTGCCACCCAAGTCCCTTTTTTGTTTTTGAGATAGGGTCTCATTAACTTTGTATGGTCTAACGTCAATCTCACAATCCTGTTTTCACTTCCCTATTACATTTTCTCAGTCACCCTAATGTATCTTAAATTTTTTTTGCAGGAGCTTCTCATAGTGAAGGAATAAAATTTAATTTGGGTATCTTGTCCCTTTAGTTCCTGTAAATCAAGAAGATTTCATTTCCTTTTGTTTCATTTTGATACACAGATACTTCTTTTGGATTTCATTTCTTCTTTTCAAATTCTTTTATTTGTGAATAGTAGTTTGTACACAGTGGTTTCATTTTGATACTTGCATACATACATATAATGTACTTTGATCAAATTCACCTGCACTGTTACTCCCTCTTATGCCTCCTCTACCCTCATTTTAAAAACAATTTTTAGTGGATGTCATTATTCTTTTTACATACATGCATGTGAAGTAATTCAATCATATATACTTCTCCCTCATCTTCACCTTCTGCTCCCTCCACTTTACCCACTTCAAACAGTTTCTATTTTACACTCATGGTATTCATTTCTAAAGTCTTATACTAATACTTTTGAACAGCTGAAGTGTCTTATCATGGTAAATCTTCCTTAATCTGTTTTTTTGTATGCATTTTCTTGGAGATTAGGTTCCAATTATGTGTTTTTGGCAAGAACATTACATAGATGATGTTATGTATCTGTGTCTCACTGTACCAGATGTGGCTGGAGGAAGATAGTACCAGTTTGTCTCATTGTTGGTTTGTACACACTAAGAAGATATATCAATCAGCCTTCCATTACTTTGACAAAATATCTAAGAAAAACAACTTAAAGATGGAAAGATTTATTTTGGCTCAGATTTCAGAGGCTTCAGTCTGTGGTTGACTGACTTCATTGCTTTTGACCTGTGGCAAAGCAGAAACAATCATGGTGGAAAGCTGCTCACCTCATGCTGGCCAGGAAGCAGGGGACAGAGGAAGAGGATAAAGATATATCATTCTATAACATACTGTCCCATTGACTTACTTTCTTCCATCTCCTACCCTTCACAATCTTGCATTAATGCTACCAAATTATGAATCCATTAGTTGATTAATTCACTGATGAGGTCAAAGATCTTATGATCCAGTCACTTCCCAAAAGTCCATCAGGTCTTTAACACAAGCACCTTCAGGTACATTTCAGATTCAAATCATTTCTAGGGATGTCTATTAATGAATAATTTATTTACATAATTTTGTCTCCAGGGCATGAATTTAATAACATCACTGACTTCTGTGCTACATGACGACAAAGAATTTCCTAATCCAGAGATGTTTGATCCTGGTCACTTTCTAGATGAGAGTGGCAACTTTAAGAAAAGTGACTACTTCATGCCTTTCTCAATAGGTAATAGAAGTTCATTTTCATTTGTACCCCAGGGGCAAGATAACAAGATAAAAAACTTTCTTTGAGGCACTGTGTTGCTCTGGTTAGCTTGAATTCCTGAACTCAAGCCTCCTACCTCAGCCTCCTGAGTATCTGGTACTACATATTGTGTCACCATGCCTGGATCTAAAAGACAAATTTTTGAGATCATTTTGAACTTCCATGGTGCCTCCTCTTGAGCAGGTCTATTTGTTATTTGCACATCACCAGACTACCACTTCCAATGCCCAAGTTTAATGATCAGGCTACATCATTATTATTGGTGGAGCTTTGCAGAATGTCTGCCTTAATGACTCAAATTGCTAAAGCTGGAGTAAATATTGATTGAATTCTGCCTCTGGATATATCACCAAGCTGTTTCTGAGCTCCTCTTAGAAGTGAAACTCATGTAGACTTTCTTTACCTGCCATAAGAAAGGTATTCAAGTCTATATTTGAGTATCTTCTCTTCAGTGTGTCTCACTCCCAGACTAAGATTTGGGGATACAAGTATCATAGAGAACACAATGGGTTTTTCAGATATTCCTGAATTGGGAAAACAGATGAGTACAGATCATTATAACCCAGTAAGACTAGTTCTGTGAGATAGGGAGACACAGGTTTTTGTGGAGTTAAAAAGGAGCTGTTTCTCACATTCTGCTCTTTCTTATTTCTTTTTTTCCCTTTTGTGGTACTGGGGATTGAATCCAGGGCCTTGTGCTTGCTAGACAAGTGCTTTACCACTTGAGCTATAGCTCTAGCCTGAATTCTGCTCTTTTATAACTCAGCATATTCTAAAAAAGAAAAAATCCAGTTAAGATGGTTCACAAGAGTCAGGGAGCAAGGAAAGGTAGATAGCAGGGTACTTTAGAGAGGTAATGGAGTACAGGAGAGAAGATTTTGTATAAATGTAGGGAGTCAGAATATACCAACTCAATGCAGATTGAGAAAAACTTGAAAATGTGGAGTGCAAAGTCTGCAATGATTCCAGAGCACCGTGATCTTGTACTGGTAACTATGCATTTTGAATATTTGGTCTTGCTATTAAATTGAGTATACTGAGAATATAGACATAGAATCACTTCATTGTTTTTTGGCTGTGGTTTTCTATGACTATGTTAGGTTTGGCATTGTACATATCAAGACATGCCACACTGAGTCCTTCTTTAAAGGAACTCATAATGTGCCAGGAAGGGAAAAATAATAGAATAGGATTCAAGGCAATCCAAGCTTCTCTGAACACATGAATGTGATGAGGCACTTAGGGAGGGTGAGATTCTACTGCCTGAGGGGGATCACAAGGATCATAAAGAGAAAACGGCACAGGACATAGGTCTTGGAGAAGGTATCAGAGCAGTGCTTTTTAGCCAAATGGGGCTGTAGGAGATGAGTCTTGAACCTTCACAGTGCTGGAAATTGATGAAGTGGGGCCATGCCCAGAGCTGAGGGCAGAGGATGTGAGGAATGGAAGGAGTGAGATTGAACCTTAGATAGGGAACAGAATGAGAAAGGCCAGGTCAGGCCATTTGGACTTTACCTCACAGGGCAGACATGCAAGCCATTTAATGTTTTAAAATGAGAGAGTGACACATTTAGATAAGGTGATTTTGAAAATATGCTAGGATAAAAATATTTGAGCTTGCTCTTCTCAGCTTTTATCCTTTCAGCCTACTGTGTAAGTATGTTTCTAGAAATAGATGATGAAAACTTGAAATGTGAAAAGAATATAATATGTGAATGGTTATTGAAGTGATATAGAGCTGATCTCATTAAGTATTTGGTGAAGGGTACCTGATAAAACATGTGCATCTCCCCACCCACCATTCTTTCAGCTATCCTGTATTTGATCCATCCACTTATTTAATAATTCACCAAATAACCACCTTATACTCTTTATAGCATCTCAGAAACTATTGTTTAAGGAGGGAATCCTCTTTTCTTTTCTTTTTCTTTTTTCCAGGAAAACGGATGTGTGTGGGAGAGGGTCTGGCCCGCATGGAGCTTTTTTTGTTCCTGACAACAATTTTACAGAATTTTAACCTGAAATCCTTGATTGACTCAAAGGACATCGACACTATCCCAGTTGCCAGTGCATTTGGCCGTGTGCCACCTTCGTACCAGCTCTGCTTCATTCCTCTCTGAAGAAGGGGAGGCTGCTTGGCTCCTGTTGTGCTGTCACCTGTTGCTTTCATTCCACAGGAGCACTGTCCACCTCTTTCCTATTATTAGGGATACTTTCTCTCAGCTGTCTTCTCCAGTCTTTCCATTCCATCACAATCTCATGAAATTCCAACCTTCATTAAGCAGAATTTCCTGGGTCACTGCACAAATTTATCTGCTGCACTCTATGCTCTATAACCCTTGTATTGACCACTGCATTTGCTAATACCTGTCAAATGCTAGTTGTTAGTATGTTATCAAAGTAAAACAGCAAAATTAATTAGTATATGACATCTGAGAGACATATCTGCTATGCATTTTCCAAATAAGGCATCATCAGTGGCTGGGTCCTTCCTTAGGCTTCTTTCTTTGTGCATAATGCAGATAAGAAATGAAAAAAATAAAGTTCATATCACAATGAGATACCATCTTTCACCCAGTAGGATATCAGTTTCAAAATGAAAATGAAAAAGAAGGAAGTAGAAATAGTGAGTTTTGGTGAGAATATGTAGAAATTGGAATTCTTTTGCACTCATGTTGTGGATGAAAAATGATGCAGTCACTATTAAAAATAGAATAGTGTTTTCTTAATAAATAAAAAAGGAGCTCTCATGTGATCTAATGATTATACTTATGGGCACATTTCCTAAAAGGAATGATTTCAGGGAATCCAAGAGATGTTTATACACCCATTCAAAGCAGGATTATTCACAAATGTCAAAAGGTGTAAGCTTCCAATGTACTCATTAAGGAAGGAATGGATAAAATGCTACTTGTGTACATAATGGAATACTATTTATCCTTAAAAAGAGAGAAACTTCAGACACATGCTATTACATGAATGAACCCAATGTTTATTTCTTTCTGTGAGTAAAATTCAGTCTTTTTATTTCCTCTGTCTATAAGAAATGCATTGTATTCTCAACGTGTACATCCACTAGCTGTATGACTTGGACCTGTCATACTCTCAGAATGTCCCTGATACATTAACCTTGACTCTAAGGCTATTTCTAGATATTACAATCTAGGAGTCATTTGATGATTGTACAGCTGAAGCAAGAAAAGTACAATATGAGTCTGGAATACTTCACTGTGCCAAAAATAGGGAATTGATCAAGAAATGACTGGGCCATGGAAAAGAACACAAAATACAGTCAGTAAGATACAGAGTACCAAAGTATATAATAATAGTGGTTTACTTCAACCCATTGGTGCTTTTGAATTAATGATTTCTTTTGATATAAAGAAATTGGTAACTTGACATTTGATGAGTGAGAATTACAGAATTTCAACGAATCTGTCTATAGAATACTTCTAAATTACATAGCTGATAAAATAACTTTAAAGTGAAGAACTTCCAGAAACTATCTTAGTAATGAAATGAACACCATCCATAATGAACCCAGTCAAAATTTTTTGCCACCTAGAAAGGGGAAGAAGCAGTGTCATTCTGTGGCCTTTCTGCCAAAGACGTATAAGCTGAATTTAATCAGGAAACACAAGATAAGCTCAAATTGTGGGACATTTTTAAAATAAATACTTGGCTTATGCTCTTACAGAGTATCAAAGCTGCAGGAGTCAAGGAAAGGCTAAAGAACTATTCTAGATTGAAGTTAAGTGTAGAGACATGACACATAGTTGTAATGTGTTTCTGGATGCTGAGCTGAATTCTCAATGGGATATAAAGGATATCTTTGAGACTTTTTGGTAAAATACCAGAGAGGATGAGGTTTAGAAAGTCTCAATTCATAAATATTAATTTCCTAATTTTGATGGGATGGCTATAATTATATGGAAGAATCACCTTGCTTTTAGGAAATACATACTAAAATACTGAGTTCCTTGGAAGCAAGTCAGCATTTTCCTTTCAAATGTTTTAGAATAAAACAATTCTGTGCATATACTAACTACTTTGTACACATTTATAATTGTTAATGAGTACCTATATACAAGCCAACATATCGAGATTTTATATATTTTTACATTATAAACATATATGTACATATATATTATATATATGCAAGAAGTTGACATTCCCAAGAGGCATCTGAAACTATTCACATCACTGAGCTTTATGGAAATGTAAATGAAAACTTCAATGAGGAAGCATTACAAAATACATCAGAATGATTGGAATAAAAAATTCACATTACATTAAGTATTGACAAGAAAGTGAAGCAATAGGCACTCTCAAAGTTGTAAGTTGGTTCAACCATATGGACAATTCTTTGGCAAAAATTACTTAAAGTGAACATATGCATATTTAGCAATTTTTGTAGTTGTGTACTGTACAGAGGATTATGGTGATGGACTATGCTCTCCAGGTACTTCCCTGATTCATTCTGATCCATACACAACACCATTTTTGGGACAAACCTGGGCTTGGATTGCCCTGTAGTGCTGAAACAGATGAAACAATAGCTGACAAACCTGGACTTGCGTGCCACCTAGTGCTGAAATAGTGAAAGTGACAATAGGCTCAGACAAAATAAGCAGCCTGCTAAGAATTTCTGGAAAGACAGGCATAAACAAAGCCAGATTATGAAGTCTGAAACACACACCTAATCTTCAATTTCCAGATGCTTTTGTGCATCTTAGTATCAAGAGCTTTCAGGAAACAATAGTCTTTCCTAATAGTAAAACTAAGGTACCTGAAACTGACCAGAGAGTAACCCATATAGAATAACTGCCAGAGAATTTAAAAAGTTGTGTGAAAGAAACTCTACAAACTTGAAGAACACACAGAGATATGATTAAATATTCCAACAGAAGAAGAGGTGGAAACAATAAAATGTCATAGAAACTGTTACGTTGATGAAACAATAAAATGTCATAGAAACTGTTAAGTGAAATTTAAAAAATGATAAAAAGCATCAATAGTAGGATAGATCAAACAGAAGGAAGAATTAGTGAGCTTGATGAAGACAGGATATTTATGCAGTCAGAGGAAATTAAAGAAAAGAATGAAGAGTAATGAAGAAAGCTCATGGGAGTTTTAGGACAATATTAAAAGAGCAAATGTTTGCGTTATTGATGTTCAAAAAGGACTAGAGAATGCCAAAGGAATAGAAGGCTATTAAAAATGGTAACAAAAAACTTCCCAATCCTAGAAAAGGATACAAATATCCAGGTACAGAAAGGTCAAAGGTCATCAGACACATTCAATTCAACTTTGTCTCCCCAAAGATAGAGCGACTTAATGAATAATAAAACAAGATCCACCTATATGTTGCTTACAAAAAACTAGTGTCAGCTCTAAGGACACACTTAAATTAAAAGTGAAAGGATGGAATAAGTTATTCCAGGAAAATGGAATCTAAAAATCAGCAAGAGCAGCCCTACTTATATCAGAAAAAACAGATTTTCAATAAAAAAATAGTAAAAAGGGACAAGGAAGTTACCTTATAAAGGGGTCAATTCAGCAAGAGGAAATAACAATTGTAAATATATACGCACCCAATATGGAGCACTCACATATATTAAATAAATATGAATAGACCTAAAGATAGGTATAGACTCCAATATAATAAGAGTAGGGGACCTTAATATCCCACTTTTAGCAATGCACAGATCATCCAGAATCAACAAAAAAAAGTAGAGCTAAATTCCACTCTAGGCCAATGGACCTAAGAGATATCTAACGAACATTACATCAAACAGCAACAGAATGCATATTCTCCATGACATATCATATGATAGGTCACAAAACATTTCAACAAATTAAAAAATTGAAATTACTTTATCTTTTCTGAGCAAAATAAAAGTATGAATCAATAATAAGTACTTTTGAAACTATGCAAATACATGGAAATTAAACAACTTGCTTTTGAACAACCCATTAAACAAGGAAGAAATAATGAAGGAAACTAAAAATTTCTTGAAATAAATGAAAATGAAGACACAACATACCAAAATTTACGGGATACAGCAACAACAGTACTAAGAGAGAAGTTTATAGCAATCAAGAAAGATGAAAAAGTCACCTCATTTCAATAAACTAGAAAAGCAGCAACAAACAAAACCCACAATTACTAGAAGGAAAAAATAAATATCAGAAAAGAAATAAATAAGTAGAGACTAAAAAGTCAAAATATCAATGAAATGAAATACTAGGTCTATGTAAAGATAAATAACATAGATAAATATTTAGCTAGAATAAGAAAAAGAGGAGAGTCAAATAATATCAGAGCTCAAAAAAGAGACTTTCCATTGGCACTAAAAAATACAGACGATCACAGGAAAATGTTATGAAAAATTATATGACAAAAGTTTGATAATCTAGAAGATATGATGAAATTCCTGCATACATACATCTTACTAAGATTGAAGAAAACCTACCAAAGTCTTCACTATTGAGCTCTACTAAACATTTAAAAGAGAACTGGTACTATTGTATGAGTTTTTGTAAATGCCACAATGTACTCCCAGCATAACAATAAAATAAGCTGATACTAATTCTCCCTAAGTGATTACAAAAATTAGAAAAGGGATGAATTCTTCCACCCACATTCTATAAGACCAGCATCACTAATACTAAAATCAGAAAAGGAGTGAACATAAAATGAAAACTAAAGGGTAACAAATTTGAACACAGATGCAAAACTTCAACAAAATGCTAGCAAACTGAATCCAATAGCACATTAAAAATTATTCATCATAGTCAAATGGAATTTGTTCCAGAGATACAGGAATAGTTTGATACAAGAAAGTAAACAAACATGGTAACCATATCAGCAGAATGAAGGATGAACACCACATGATCATCTCAACAGATGAAGAAAAGGCACTTGATAATTCAATATACCTTCATGATAAAAAATAATGAACAAATTAGGAATAGAAGGAATATACCTCAACATCATAAAATACATATGTAAGTCAACAACTAACATTATATTGAATGGCAAAAAGCTAAATGTCCTCTTTAAGATCTGGAAGAAGGATAGGCACTTACGCCAATTTTATCTATCATTGTACTGGAAATTCTTGCCAAAACAATCCTGCAAGAAATGAAGGGCATCC